GGCCGCTTCTTCATGGGCCGCACGTACGGCAGGCCGTACACGTTGACGCGGGCCGCGTGAGAAGCGCTGCCGACCTGCAAGTTGGTAAAAACGAATAAATTAATTTTATACCGTCTAAACCGGAAAAGGATAAAACTTCTGAGTCATAGAATATGTGACAGTTGCACTTTGATCTGAAATTGTTGGTTATTGTGCAGAATAGATGAATATAGTATACGGTTTTTTAATTATAAAAAAGGAGGATAAGAGCAGCGGATTGCCTAACTGATTCAATTGCTATGTCAAGGGTCACAGACGCGTTGTTAGAAAAGGAAAGTACGCTCTTATCTAGGAAGCCCCTAAGAAGTAACTGTTTGGGAATACCGCTGTGAACAGTCGCTAACCTTGCTGGAGGCGATACAGGAGTACAAGCCGCCGTCGTTGGTGTGCACAGAGGAGATGTTGAGGTGAGACTCGACGTTGCCATCGGCGGTAACGAACTGTCCGATCTGCAGCCGCTCGCCGCTGCTGAGCTTGTCGCCGTCCAGCAGCCAGGCGATGTCGGGGGTGGGGTTGCCGGACGCTACGCACTTCAGTCGCAGGGGAGGTCCAGAGCGCAGGGTTTGTTCGCCGAAGCTGTGACGGATTTGGGGTGGCTCGACTGTAAGTAATACAAAACATGTTAAACACCATATAATAAAATTTGATTTTTAAATACTAACATTAAATACGTCACTGTATCAGATCTTTGTAGCAATATGAAATCCTATCAAGAGTTACAAATATTATTTCTATCCCAAAGGAATACCACGTAACAAGCAAATAGTTACTTATTTTTTGTGCAATGATACACACCACACCCAAGAGGTAGTAAATAAATACTAATTTAAAAAACTTGTTTGATCTTACATCGTCCTCCAAGTTTGAGTTCAGCGCTGGCGCCGGCGCTCTCCTGGTCGTTCCTGATGAAGCACTGGTACATGCCCTTGTCCTCTTTCTTTACGGACTCAATCCTGGAAACATAATAAAATGTCACAATGTATCTTAGTGGTTGGCGGTAAGAGGAAGTGGCAGTTATGTTAACACAAACAACTTATGCGTATTATTTGTATGCAAAAATATTATTAAAGTATTAAATAAAAAAAGTTATTAGCAATGAAGTACCGTAACAAAGTGGTATTGACTAAATAATATAAAAACATCTATACAAATTTATACACAGATCCATTGCGTAGTGTGCAAAATAAAGCAGCAACTACACATTAATTAAGGAAACATTTTTAAAATATCAGGATGGAGAGAACTCTAATGAACGACTCGCGCCGGGTCCTCCAAATCCATTAATTACGTCCTTTGCCAACTCCAACAAGGTTGTTAGCCTCTAGGATTTATTCAGATAGTTGATAATCTCTTGGATAAAAAAAAAGTTTATAACCTTTAAAATGAAGACCGAAATGAGGTTATGCCGCATTTGTTTTAAGTTGACGTCAATAAAGTCTATGGACTTCTGTTTCTGGATTACTTACTTGTAAAATAGCAGTAAATTGCAGCAGGAATTTGTATGTATTTGATATCAAAAGCATATACCAGGTAAAATATGTACCTTAGGATAGCGTCATGATGGTTCATGTCCTTGCCGTCTTTAAGCCATGTAACAGTCTTGATGGGGTTTCCTTCGTAGCGGCAAGTAAAGACAGCGGGTCTGCCGAAATCAACAGTTTGAGTGGCGGGTTCCACAGTCGACTTTAGAGGTGCGGTCACAGTCAGAACCGTTTCAACTGATTCGCCTGAAATGTAGAGAAAATATAATGAAGCGTCACTTAATTCTTTCTATTTCTTCGCAGTAATTATTCAATGCAGACTTTTGCCATTATTTAAAAAAAAAAGGCTAGTGAGATTGTAAACTGAAGTTAGTTTGACGACGATACAAACAAATAAGTTTACACCGTGATTATTTTTTAATTTCATACTTATGTAAAATGTTAAATTGGTAATTCAAAAGCTGAAATTAATAAGGGCGTAGTATTTGCCCATAAATACCAATAAAACTTACCACCAACAGAGTTATTGACAACGCACAAATATTTCCCGGAATCCTCGACTTTAGCCTCTTTAATGATGAGAGTTCCAGAAACCTGCTTCACTCTGTCGTTCAGCACAACTGGCTGCTTCCTTGTCGTGCCGTCGATGAATTTGTACCATCTGTAACAATACAGAAAGAGTTCAGCTTGTGTCACGTGTTACTTAGTTTGTACAATAAAAATTCCCATATTGCTTAATCTCAATTTGTATGAAATAATTACAACGAAAAGAATAGTTGACTAGGTGTAACTAAGAATCAAGTTTTAGTGCCTGAATCAAAGCATGTTTGATATAACTAAGTTTAAGGTAGCAATACGTGTTCAAAATATTTATTAGAAAACACAAAATACAAAACCCGTCTGTCATTAGTTCTAAAAAGCAGGATTAGCCAAAAAATTGTTTAGTAAAAAGACAATTTAAAATTTTGGGTTTGATTGAACGCCCTAACACCAATATCGAAGAAACCAACCCATAAAGTGAAGAAAATTAAAAAAGCCACACGGCAGAACTTTAGATGATGAGTAGAATTAATAAAAGTAATTCGACAATGAGAAAAGCCACCGCAACGAACGAAATGTACGGTAGCTGGCCTGGACCGGATGAGTTAACGCAATGTGTAGCCATGACTCGCGAGAAGCACAAAGTAAAGATTAAAGCGTCTGAATGAAAGCAAGAACACCCTGACACTTACCAGGAGGTGTCTGTCCGCTCAATCGTTACTTTGGCTGGGAACCGTTATAAGGGTTGCGGCCGGCCGCGGTACATCACGCCTCATGGCACGCGGAGCCGCCGCCAGGCTGCAATAACAAGTGCGTTGTTCAATCAATACATCGGATGGCACGCGAGCCGAGCGCGTGACGATGAGCGCGCGAGACCAGCGGCCGGCCGGTGCACCACCTCCTACCTCGTTAAGGGAGCAGGGAACGCTTGCACCTCACAGAGGAGCGCGAGGCTTTCCTCGCCTCGTCCTACATGACGGTTAAGCCCGTCGCCCGTCACTTTCGGTCCGGTCCTACCCGTCGGCTCTGCAAGATAAATCGACAGTCACCTTACAATACGCCGCACTCACCTAAACACGGGCGCGGGGAACGCGGCGATCTGACACGTCAAATACGCTATCTCGCGGTGCGACACGAAGAGTACCTCCCAACCTTCAAAGTGCTTAGTTGAATCTTTTCGAGGTGCTATTTTATTGGTAGGTTCTGCAAGTACAGAGACGACTTAATAAATGTCTAACGAAAACCTCACCGAACCTTAACGGACCTTAAAATAAGATACCCAGGCAAACAATTCTAAGTATGACACTTAGTAGACATTTAGGAAACATAATTTTGGAAATCAACCGAATCTAAACGACCTATAGAAATTGCATATTAATTACTAACTTACCTAAACACGGGAGCTGGGTAGCCAGCGACTTCACAAGTCAGAAAAACGGACTCGCTTTGAGAAGCTAAAAAGATTTCTCCTCCTTCGAATTTCCTGGTTTTGTCGCTTCGTGGTGCAATTTTATTAGTCGGTTCTGTAATATATGGACTTATTTCAATTAACGCACCTCGAAACTGGAACGGGATATCCTTGAGCAGGACACAAGAGAGCTAACGAAGATAACTGTGCATAGTGCACGGCGGCTTTTGGCGTCGACGTAACACTTGGCACCGCACTTGCGATAGGCTCTGAAGAAATTTATCAACTCGTGAATATATAACAAAACAAATTCAATCAACAACTACCTTTATTGTAAATCAGGAAGGCGGTTTGAACTTAAGAAGAAATAACATTTACGTAATTAGATGATAAATCTTAACTTGCCTGAATATGGGAACAGGAAACGCTTGCGCTTGACACAACAATCCGAAACTTTGATTGACTGTTCGAACGAAACTTGTACTACGAGCGTCCGTAGAAAAAGTAGGGGCTTTAGATCCCACCGGTTCTGCAGTAGAAAGTTTTGTTTAGTGTTATAGAATTTAAAAGAAGACTTGCCTGAAAATCGGCGCAGGATAACTTTGGGCCTGACATAGAAGACCGAACCCTTGTCCGATACGTTTTCTAAATATGCTCCCCATAGACTCAGACGAGAACGTAGGGGACTTGGCACCGACCGGTTCTACAAAATATTAGCGGGCTCAGTAACCAAAACAAAATAAATTACAACTTGCCTGAAAATCGGGACGGGGAAACCTTGAGCTTGACACAGTAAAGCAAAGCTTTGACTTTCGTGCCTCTTAATGGAAGAAAGCGCAGACTCGGTTGAAAAAGAGGGAGCCTTTGATCCGACCGGCTCTGTAGAAAACAATTAAAGGGAATCAGAAATGAAATCGAAAGAAAAATCTTGCATAGAAATCGAAATATAAACCCAAACTAAAGACTCAAACATGACAACAACCTAAAAACCCTATTATATTCTTTATATTTCCTAATATTGACAACCACCATAATTTTATTCCGCGATATTTTTAATGCAAGCGTATCTTATTTACATTGAGTTATATTGCAATTATAACGCAAACCGCTTTAGTAACGAACTTGCCTGAATATTGGAATAGGGAACGCTTGAGCTTGGCACATCATTGAGAAACTTTGATCCTTATGCCTCGTTACCGCCGACAATGTAAAGTCAGTAGTAAATGTAGGCGGCTTGGATCCCACAGGTTCTGTGCAGGAAAAATCACGTACACACTATAATGTTTTACATTCCAACTTACCTAAATATTGGGACAGGGAAAGCTTGAGATTGACATAGCAATGCGAAATTTTGTCCAGATTCTCTAACGAAAATACTGCCCTTAGAGTCTGAGGAAAACGTCGGAGCTTTCGCACCGATAGGCTCTAAAAGAGAAAAAACGGAACATTACATTTCCAAACCCACCTGAACATTGGATGCGGATACCCTTGTGCCTGACAAAGCATCGAACCACTGGAATTTGCTTCTATATCGTAATTGTAAGATGACGCAGTCGTCGGAAAAGATGGGGCTCTAGCAGTTACGGGTTCTGAATTAAAAATTAATAATAGTAAGTTAAGCGACACTCACTTGAACATGGGGGACGGATGAGCTTGCGCCTGACACAAAAGAACGATCGCCTGCCCGTCGACTTTCGTAAGCGTAGTGCTTTTAAATTCCATAGAAAACGACGGCGCCTTCGAACCGATGGGTTCTGCGACAATGATACGCGACTGGTTGAAGTTTCGTTAAAAATCTTACCTGAATATGGGAACGGGATACGCTTGAGCCTGGCACAAGAGTGCAAAATCCTGACCGGTCTTACGAGTTATTCCAGAGAATTGTACATCGTTAGAGAATGTAGGCGATTTAGAGCCAACGGGTTCTATAAATAAAAATAGGTATATTTATTCACCTGAATATTGGGACGGGGAAGCCTTGAGCCGGACAAAGGATATTTAAATCTTGCCCTGCGGTCCTTACGTACCAAGAGAATTTGTTATCAGTAGAGAAAGCGGGCGATTTTGTTCCGATCGGTTCTAAAATATAGATTATATAGAATTGAGAACGTTATAAATATTTTAATACCTGTATATTGGAATAGGATATCCCTGAGCCCGACACAGTAACGCTAAACTTTGTCCTACGTGCCTTATAAACCAAGCTAACTTGTCATCGGTCGAGAAAGCAGGTGATTTTGACCCGATGGGCTCTGGAAAATTTATCGTTTAATTGTAAACAAGTGGATATTAATGTGCTTACCTAAACACCGGAACGGGAAAAGCTTGCGCCGGACATAAAAGAGCGAAATCCTGACTATTATGTATTTCAAACCACGCAAGTTTTGATCCGCTTGAAAAAGAAGGACTTTTGGAGCCAATCGGTTCTAAAAATACAAAGTATCGTTACCTACTATTGTAATATTCCTCTTATATTTTGTTACATAGAGTATTACGACGCTAACCCTATCGCACCCTATCGAAGCTTTTAGGTTAACTAACTGTTCCAGTAAAATATTAATACTGCTTTACATCAATTTGTTTTATTACAATAAACTCACCTAAATACTGGAACTGGGAAGGCTTGAGCCAAACAAAGCAAAGTAACGCTGGAGTCCGATGCGAATTCCACGAATTCTATGATTTTGGTGGGAACTTTCGGTGGGGCGCTATTTATTGGCTCTAGAAGGAAATGGTGACATTGATCACTATCTATTAATAATATTTACCTTGATAGAGGAACTGGGAAGGCTTGTGCCGGGCACAGCAATGTTACGCTAGCGTTCACATGAGTATCGAAACCTCTAACGTTATCCATAGTAGGAAACTTCGGAGGTACTCTTCCTACGGGCTCTAGATAAACATTTTACGATTGTAAAGCGTTATAAGACAGACACAGTTATGGAATAACTATTACCTGAATATTGGAACAGGGAAGGCTTGCGCCATACATAGCAATGTTGTTGTATTGTTCAATGAAACTTCCGATATATCGATCATTTTACTGGCTACTTTTGGAGCAGCGGTGCCCATAGGTTCTAAAGAAACAGAAATGAGCGATTTAAATAATTAGGTTGTCAATATACCTGAAGGCCGGGGCGGGGTAAGCTTGCGCGGGGCACAATAGCGTGACATTATCGTCTTCCTTTGTATCGAAGGCTCGACTTTTGTCGCTAGTCGTAAATTTTGGCGAGACTCGACCCACGGGCTCTAAGAATAAATCTTTTTTAGAAATAACTACTAACACGAACAAAGCATTACCTGAACAATGGAACCGGGAAGGCCTGAGCGGGGCATAATAACGTCAAACTGTTGTTTAAGAGAGCGCTGAAACTTCTCGAACTATCCATCGAAGGGAATTTTGGCGAAACTCTGCCCACCGGCTCTAAAGAAATAACATCAATATGTATAATGCTAAATACCTGAACAATGGAGTAGGGAACGCTTGTGCCGGACAAAGCAATGTCACATAGGTATTAGATGAAAATGTAAAGCTGCGGCCGGTTTCCATCGACGGGAATTTCGGCGACACCTTTCCCATTGGTTCTGTTTATCGAAAGAAAAATAGAAAACGTTCCTATACTGAGACTTTACAAATACATATTCCAATAAGTGTTATAAGTTCGTTGAAACGTTTAACAATGTAACTGAAGCGCATTTACTTATGTTGACAATCTTACCTAAACATTGGGGCAGGAAAGGCTTGCGCGAGACATAACAGAGAGAGACTTTGATTGCTTTCAAAATTAAAGAGTCGACTTTTTTCTAAGCTTGAAAATTTTGGAGATACTTTTCCCATAGGTTCTGGAGCAAATGAAAACATCTCTGTTATTTTACCCTTTGAATACCGGACTTTCTACTCTAATTTCTTTAGAAATATCAATGGTAAAATAGGCTTTACGGAAACTTAGAAGACCATCAACTTAGTACCTGAAAAGCGGAACCGGGAACGCCTGGGCGGGGCATTGTAAAGCGAATGACTCGGTATCCTTGACTCCAATCATCGTTCCCATCACAACGGATGAAAATTTGGGCGGTACGCGTCCAACGGGTTCTATAGAAGCAATCAAATACTAATTTTGATTTACGTGTAAATTTACCTGAACAGTGGGGTTGGGAACGCTTGGGCGGGACACTGCAATGCATACGAATCGTCTTTTGTAACCTCGAACATGGTCCCGGTTAAGACGGTCGCAAACTTGGGGGGGACGCGGCCGACGGGCTCTAGAAATCGGTTTCAATAAATTGGGATACATGGTAAATGAAAGTTACCTGAACATGGGGACGGGAAAGGCCTGCGCGGGGCAGAGTAACGTGAAGGACATGCCCAGCGTCGTCGTGAACGTGATGCTCACTTGTGTAGTGGACAGTTTTGGTGGCACGCGCCCTATCGGCTCTGAGGAATACGCAAAACGAATTTAGCTTAAAAATTCGCCTTACCGGTACATGGGGGCGGGGTATGCCTGTGCGGGGCACTGCACGGCGACGCTAGAGGACTCTCTAAACAGGAAGCCGCTGGTGATCTGCGAGCTACTGGGGAACTTAGGGGGCACGCGGCCCACCGGCTCTGCGCATGTTGGGAGAAGGCGGCTTTACGAGAGTCCAAAACAAACTTAAAGACACACATTTTCAACTCCCTGTAAGTACTTGTTACGCGGTAATAATATTTTTGAAAATTAATTCAATAATTTAGCGTTTTTAGGCTCTGCAGGATACCCTATCCCAACATTCAGGCAAGTTTATGTTCTAAAGTAAAAACAAATTGCATGTGTTTTTTAATTTATTTCTATTGAATTTATAAAAAATAATCTATTTTTCTATACCTGTATTTAACAAATAAAAATTGACTGCAACTTAATGTATTTTGATACAGTATCACAAGAATAATAGATTATTTTGTTTTTTATAAACATTTAAGTATTTTAAAATGGTAAAACATTTTCAGTGTATTGTATCAAAAATACTTTAATTTTACACCGAGACTGAAAATATTTTTCACATTTTAATGAAATTTTAAGAAATCTTTCAGTAAAAACTAGAAATTACAGCTTTTAATTTAATTTCAAAAAGAAAAAGAGAAAGAGTTTAATAAAGGTTTTTTAATACATATTTTCACTGAAAGATATCAAAAAGCACGCCATGAATTCACTACAGAGAACGTTTGCTAGTATACAGTAAAATGAAAAACTAATATAAATTAACGTAATGAATTAATGGCGCGAAAGCAACAAGTAAAAATAAAAACTCACCTGTGATAACTAATCGTCCTTTAGTAGCGGATAAACGAGTTTCTCCAGTTAGTCTATGTTTAGTGCGGCATTGATATGATTTGTAACCATCCTCGGGTCCAACATCACGGATATGTAATTCACCAGATGGGAGTACTAGATATTTTCCCTCTGTGCAAAAAGAAAAAAACAATTATAGACACAGTTTGCAAGACAAAAACTCAAATTAATTCATTTCAATTTTTATATTCTTTTAAAGGCAAAGCAACATAAGGTTGCTATTTACTTATAAATTGAATTACATGCATTAATCTAAGGAAGGAGGAAATAGGAGATAGGTAGGCCGTTAGGCCCATGGAACGACAGGAACCCAAATTAGGAACACATCCCTAGAAGCAAACAGTTTGGAATCATGGTAGTGGCTTAAAGCCATTTTAAGAAGACGTCTTAGCTAGTTCCAACTCATACCATCGAAATTTTCATCAGATTCAAGTTTAATTTCTAACTCCTCATCGCCTTCGCTGATAATCCAGGAGATGACATTAACATATTCAGACACGAAACTGGGGATGTGGCATTTCAAGATGGCAGCATTCCCTCTCAACACATATTCCTCCATTAGATTAACAGCGTACGCTTGAGAAACCACTGAAACAATGGAACCTAATATCAGCAGACCTAATATGGCCTTCAAGACATAGCCCTACTTATATTAAGACACCTACAAAAATTTCAATAGCTGATTTAGATAAATTACAACAAGGATACGTGATAGGAACCAACAGGATAACGTTAAAATGTTCCCGAAAACAAAATACCTAGATTATCAGAATCGTTTATTTTGATTTCTTGTTCATTCTCATCTTCCGATATTATCCATGAGCTGACTGATACGTACTCGGCGACAAAACTTGGGATTTGGCATTTTAAAATGGCTGCATTGCCGCGCAAAACGTATTCCTCCCAGAATTTAACATCATAAGCTTGTGAGACGACTGGAAAAGTCATTAAAGATGTGCTGTTATTAAGCGATATGGTAAGATCGTTAATAATTGTTGCAATTTACAATTTACTAACTAATTAAACTAACAGCGATCCCTAAAAAGAGGATATAGAAAGGATTGAACAGGAATAAAAAGATAGCGACCTAAGCTTCAATACCTAAGTTTAATTGAGAAGCTAATTGAATATCCAACTCTTCAACATCTTCGGATATTATCCACGAAGTGACTGTTACGTATTCACTGACAAAGCTTGGTATGTGGCATTTTAAAATAGCAGCGTTACCACGTAAAACATTTTCTTCCCAAAGATTGACAGTGTACGCTTGAGAAACAGCTACAAAATAACGGACCAAATTCATATTAATAAAGCGCATAGATATAGAAATACATTTGGTGAGGACTAGGAGGTTGAGAGTTTTAATGGCAATAATCGAAGGTACCTAAATTCGAATACTCTGTTACTTTTATTTCAAGTTCATCAACGTCTCCTTCAGAAATAATCCAAGAAGATACGGTAACATATTCCGCGACAAAACTAGGTATGTGACATTTAACAATAGCAGAGTTTCCCCGCAGAACGTTTTCTTCCATTAAATTCACAGTGTAAGCTTGAGATACAACTGTAAAAATGGAACATTAAAAATTTTAATTTTGTTACATGTTTTTGCTTACAGGAAAGAGGATTATATTGGGATTTTGTTTGGCAACAATAAACTTAAAATACCCGATTCATTGGATTCAGCTTTAATTTCCAATTCATCTGTATCACCCTCAGAAATAATCCAAGAAGAGACGCTTACATATTCAGTAACAAAGGTTGAAATGTGACATTTTAAAACAGCAGCATTTCCACGTAAAACACTTTCCTCCATTAAATTTACTGTATACGCTTGTGTAACAACTGCAAGGTAAACGTAGATATTTGTATTTATCAGGAAAGTAAAACGGAAGTCAAGGATGAGGGAGGTAAGATAAGTTTTATTTTAAAAGTACCCTCTTCATTATCACTAATTTTAATTTCTTTCTCATCGTCATCTTCGGATATAATCCAAGAAGCTACTGATACATATTCTGTTACGAAACTTGGTATGAGACACTTAAAGATCGCAGAATTTCCTCGCAATACATTTTCTTCCACCAAATTTACTGTATAAGCCTGAGACACAACTGCAAAGTTGAAAAAACTATGTAACACTATTGCCAGGATGTGCTTAAAAGATATTAATGGGAGGGGATAAGCTGGAGAAAATAAACTTATATCGGCAATTAAGTTTACCGTAGTTTTCGTTACTCAAAAATTCTCCCCCTTCCGAATCATGCCAAGATATTATGTGAACATGATCAGATACAAACGAAGGGATATGGCACTTGAACACGGCAGCATTGCCGCGTATAACGTAGATATCATAAACTTGAGATTCGTAGAATTGATTGACAGCTGAAATATTACATACTAATTTATAACAATATATAAATAGGTCTCAGGGATTTTGTGGAGAGCGGATAGGAACAATTGAGGTCGCGCGGGCGCTGACTATTACCGTAATTGCCCTCGGAGCTACTCAACGAAAAAACGGGGAGGGATTCATCGTCCGTTACCCACTCAACGACCTGGACGTAGTCCGCAACGAACGATGGTATGGTACATTTGACAATGGCAGAGTTACCCCGCAATACATCTTCGTCAATAACCCGAGGTTCATAATTTTGATGCACAACTGTAAATCAACACAACTGTAAAACTCTATGAAGACATAGCAGAGAGAGGCAGATTGAACTGGATAGGATGATAGGTAGTATGTTTTTTTGTATCTATGATTAGTACTACCAGAATCATAATTTGGATTTTCTTCGGCGAGAACAGTTTCATTATCCATGATCCAAGCCACGACATGAACGAAGTCAGCTACAAACGATGGCACGATGCATTTAAGGATAGCGGTGTTGCCTCGCAAAACGAATTCGTCATTTACCCTACCCTCGTATGTTTGCAGCACAGCTGTTATGAGAAAACAAATGTGATTGGATAGAGGAAGTGGAAGGCTGATCTACGTGAGGTTTTACCCTCGCTGTGTCCAGGATAATATGTGCCTCCATCGCTATCTGTCCACATTTCAACGTAAACGAAATCCGAAACAAAACTGGGCACTTCGCATTTCATGACGGCCGCATTACCACGGATAACATATTCGTTGTCGGCTTCGGCCTCATAAGACTGCGACACAACTATCAAAAGAAGTTTACCGTTAGTATCTACAACACTAACGTGTTTCGGGTGAAGGATAAATGGATGAAAAGGGTGTTCTTGGTACATAATGTGGAAATGTACCATCCATTATGTTAGTGTGATTCATCGTCAATATCAGCCCGTCGTCCATAATCCAAGCTTCCACCTGCACGAAGTCGCTAACAAAAGATGGAATCTTGCATCGAACAATGGCAGCGTTTCCTCTAATCACGTACTCGTTTTCGGCTTCGGTCACGTAATACTGTGACACAACTGAGGAATATCAATTAGTTGTTTGATTGGATATGATAGGTGGAGGTGTAAGGACGATATCAATTTAGGACGTTTGCATTTTCATTGTTTAATGAAGACATTGTTACCGAGGTCTTCAGAATAGGTAATGACAGTTCCTTCTTCATCAATCCACGACTCCACCTTGACAAAGTCCGCAACGAAAGAAGGGATCGAACATTTTAGGACGGCAGCATTTCCGCGTATCACGTATTCGGTTAAGATCTCAGCCTCGTAAAATTGATTTACAACTGGAAAAAGATGTCAGGACTTTTTCTTAAAGTTATAGAGGAGATATGGATTATACTGGACATAGGAAATAAGATATCTGTTAGAGAACACGGCCCACCGGTATCATTTGTTAGTAAATATTCATCTCCATCGGAGGCAACCCAGGCTTCTACCTTGACAAAATCGGAGACAAAGGAAGGGATATTGCACTTGAGCACGGCTGTATTTCCTCGGATAACATATTCTGAGACTACTTCGGCTTCGTAATATTGGGTTACAACTGAAAGAGGTATGATTACATTTCAGATCGGATAAGGATGTTTTATTAAGAGAAGGAGTTTGGACTTATTATCACGTCATACTGTAGGTACCATTGCCTTCATCGTTCTCAGTGGGTGTGAATGCGTTGCCGGATTCATCGTGCCACGAGACAACGCTCACAAAGTCCGCCACAAACGACGGTATCGAACACTTGAGTATGGCTGAATTACCGCGAATCACGTATTCATTGTTAACCTCTGATTCATATTGTTGTTGGACCACTGTGAAAATGTTATTTCTATTCTATTACGTGGATTTTTCGGAGAAGGATGTTTGGAATGTCTTTATTATTTGTGAGGAGTAACCGTAATTTTCTCCAGGATAAAAGTCCTCGTTTTCATCGGTGTGCCAAGAGAGAACGTCGATGAAATCTGCTACGAAGGATGGGACCTGGCACTTGAGTATGATGCTGTTACCCATAATGACATACTCCTTGTTGACGTCAGTGTCATATTGCTGGGCAACAACTGTATTATTGAACCATTTAGTAAGATACTGCTTGTTGTGAATGATGAATGATATTCGCTAAGAAATTACGGTCTCTTCGTTTTACGAGTTTAAATACCTTTATAAATATGTTAAAGACATTGAAGACATTTTATCGTTAACCTATAATTATTACTATGAAATTACGCTCCTAAAATAAATACACAAGAATAACAATAAAACAAATTGACAAATAAAAGATACAACAGTTACAATTTTATCAAAATCTTTGGGTTTCAGGTTTAAGCTTTATTTATAAGCAATTTTCCTTCTTTCAATTTTTTCCATTCTACAGTTTTTAATATTACTACACTATAATAAAAGTTGGCGATTGTAAGAGATCGCAGTAAGTAATCATTTCACGTCAAATGAACCGTTTGCTGTCTTATCATTTTTCTTCGCTTTTAATTATAACAAAACAATCATAAATACAAGACTACAAATAACTTAAGTATCAAGAAAATGTAACATTGACAAACCAACAAAGTATTTCCTATCACATTTAGTCTAAAATTATTATAGTTTGTGAATATAAACAAGACTATCATACTATAATATTATAAATGCGAAAGTTTAAATGGATGGATGGATGGATGGAAGTTTGTTAGAGTTTGTAGCCTAAACGGCTGAACGGATTTTGATGAAATTTGGCATAGATGTAGAGAATAGTCTGGAAGAACACATAGGCTACTTGCATTTGTTTTTTTTAATTCCGCGCGGACGGAGTCGCAGTGAAAGCTAGTTATACTATAAGTATGAAAGGTAACGTCCGTACAGTTGCAGCTGTGCTTGATTGACTAATATTCAATTGACCTCGAGGTGCATCGGGTCGTGTAGGGCGACGCGGCAACGCCCTCCAAGCACAATTAACTTACATAGGACATGCTGCATACGTAGTTAAAATTATGACGCGTATTAAATAATTTAAGGATGTTAACTAACAATTAAGATAATTAGATGTACAAGGAATTGCTCTAATGAACACTTTACTATTACACCATAACTGAGAAATATTGTGTTGTATTTTGAATATTTCTAAATAAAGAACGAAACCGACTTTTAATATTTGAAACAATGGCCTTCTCATAGAGTAAAGTATATTAAAAGCACTTTAAATTTGCATAAAAGTTCTTGTATCGTTAATGGTTCGTTAGTTTTGGCAACTAATATCAGTTGAACACGTGGTGTCGTGTCACTGGTTCAACGGAAGTGACGCTTCTTAACTACCACTTAGCTTCAAATAACAACCGAATCTGAGGCCGCGGGCCGAGTGTGACTAACGTGTCAGTTAGATAACGAAATGCTCAGACACGCTCTCCATATGTCTACACAAGGACCTCACAATAAGGGCAAGCATTTGGCGTCTTTCCAGCATTGCAATTCAGTATTAGCGACATCTTAGAGATTTGAAGTTCCGACTAACAATTTAATTCTTAATTTAACGTTACGGTAAGAATCGTTGTAATTATAATAAAATGTTGGTTTGTCAATGAAATTAAACTATATTTACTAACATTTACGATAGGAAAGAACAAAGAGTAACTTACCGGCTCGCACGTTAACATCACGGGAATGAATGGTACCAACGGGGTTCCTGGCCAAACAAGCATACACCTGAGCATGTACCTCTTGACGGTAGTCCTCTGCACGGAAAGGTGGGAACACGAGGTTTCCATTCGGCAACACCTGTGAAGTTAATTACAATCTTATAACTCTCTCTCGATTACTCTTGATATAACCGCAGTTATCGCCCCTTAACTGTATAATGTAGGTTACATCATCATTCTTCTGTCTGTACATTATCATAATGTTAAAGAAATCATTGGAATTGGGTTGAATTCTACGCACGTATACGAAATTGTTACTTCAGGATACATAATACTGACAACTGAGGCTGATTTAAGACACACACAAGATTTCTAGAACTAGTCGAAGAGACTACCATAACCGTTAAAACTATAAGAGTGCTTTAAATAAAGATTAATAAAAAAATGTGTAACCTGTCGTAATCCGGGTACATCTCCTACAGCGGTACCATCAGCTCGTACCCAGATGACGTCGGGAGTGGGGGATCCTCGTGCAGCACATTCCACTACGGCGCCGGTCGTGTTGCTAAAGTCCACTCGGTTCGGGGGTTCCTTCATGAATATCGGGCCGATCGTTTCATCCTCGCAGTGCACTGCTCCTAAAATACAAATACACCGGTTATTTATAAAGACAATATGGTTAATTTTTGGATTCTTCGGTTTAACTGAATCTTTGATTTTGTTCTGTTTACTTTAAAAAAAATATGCAAATACCCGACAGTCAAAATCAAACTGTCTATGGAACGACAGTCAGATAACGTTCTTTATTTTCTTTAACATAATATAATTAGTGTAAAAACATTCAAGAGTAACAGGAGTGAAAACATGTTGGTAAGATAATACGCAGGCTCGGCCGCCGGTCTAGGCGCCAACTTCTATTTAGACTTGGATCAGTTTTCACCGCGACGCGCATCGTAATCATGCAATGCATTGTAACATGCAACGTATATCGAACTAAACTAACACAAACTTGAATTGTTGTAATTAAAACATTGTTAAGAAATGATTCCTTTATTAATGGCAACTATAGCGAATATAGTATATTGCGTTTTATTTTTTTTTTAGATAATTCAAGCAGATGTGGGGAAAGAATGTATATCGAATCGGATCATAGAAACAAAGAATTACGTGAAGTTGTAACGTTTTAAATATGCAATTTTTCAATTTATGCAGCTGCAAACGTCATGGTTGACCTCTAGAATATATTTACCATTTATAGAAGGTGATTGACTCAATTTACCTAGAGCCAAGACCTACAAATGGTATGATAAGCATTATGTGTTAGAACATCGATAAATTGTGCTATATTTTACTAACACAGGGTTAAAAGAGTACAAAGTAACAACAAAGACTATACAAAATCCAAATAGAAATATTATAAGAAGAAGCTATAAATTTTGGCATGATTTGTTTGTTAATTTCTGTCAAAGTAAAACGGAAACACCTAATTGAAAATTGAATCTAAGATCTTGCATTTTTAGAAGAAAATATTGTAGTAGAGATGCAAATAAAGTAATAGACTTCAAAAGTTAAGCATGGTGCGAGGCTAAGAAGGCGAGCCGTATGCAGGCTGCATCAGTTAGGTTGTCGACCCAGTTTCTAATGACGCTCCGAATAGCTGCATCAGCGAATGTACGATTTTTTTGTTACATTCTACAAAAACGTTTACAAAATTACAATGGATGAAAATCTTATTAAAATAGTTTTACAATAGAATAAAATAGTATCAAAGTATTTCACACGTAATACATTTTTGTAAGAATGTAAATGTTCACACAAAAAGGCACACAAATTTAAGACTTATCCATACTCTAGTCAAGAACAGATTAGTGTTAGAGACGATCGACTAAGACTTATAACTGTGCTGTCGACTTTAAAGTCTTGTTAAAGGAACATAACTTGGGTATTCAAATAACCTTGTAATCAACAGCTTTTAGGTTATTTTCTATTGTAATTGAGTTAAATTTCTAGTCATAATAATACTGTTTATAAAAATTATGATTAACTAGCACAATACAAAAACAAAATCTATATAAATAACTATATTAAGTAAGAAAAAACTTGCATATGGTATATATTAATGAAGTCTGAGCTTTTGCCCTTGAACAACTTGATTGCTCAATACCGCGTTGCGACTGCTTTTTATAGTACTCGTTTTCACATTATACGTTGTTTGTGGTTGTTATAACTTAACAAGCATATCGTCTACATTTTAACAAGCACATTAAAATATACATCTATTTAATTGGAATTTACTTGAATTCATATATTATTTTAAAGTAAAAGGGAAAAGTAACAAAGCGCGCGTAAAAGAACCAGACAGCATACTTGTAAACAACAATATAAAACAACTAGCTGTTGCTCGCGACTTTGCGTGTGAAATTAGAAAATATAGTCTGTGATACTCTAAGATAAATTAGTTTTCTATTGTCGAAGGAATTTTTTGAACCTGCCCAGTTATTTTGAGAATCAAATATGATACATACAAAAATACAAATCTTTCTTTATATTAGTAAATATTAGTTATTATTATTAGTAGTAATTATTAGTATAGATTTACATCGTGTTTTAATGGTGGAACAAGCACACAAACATGACTATATTCCAGTGTATCCTCCTACAAATTGTAAGTAAGTCCAGCTAAGGTTTACATTGATATTACCATTACCATTACGTTCCTCACGTATGATTAATACGGTCGACAAAAACAAGAGCACGTGTGTATCAATACGATGCGATCCATTGACGAATGACACGTAATTGATCGCGTCATTGTCAGCATTTTGACGCGTTATACACACTGCAGGTGTGATTCCTGTTCTTGTTCTTGTGAGATGCTATTATTACTTTATAAAATTACTAACTTTTGCCCGCCTCAGTCCGCGTTGAAAAAAAAAACCAGTAGCCATGTGTTTTTCTAGAATATCCTATACATTTATACCAAATTTCATCGAGGTCCGTTCAGCCGTTTAGGCTACAAACTCCAAGAAAGATCTATTCATCCAAACTTTCGTATTTATGATATTAGTAAGATTTAAGAGAATAAGACTAACTGCCGCACACAGAACTATTTCATTGACCCTCAGTGTTTATTGATAGTAATTGATCTGTGTTAAAATTCTCACATAGCGACCGATAAAATACCGAGTACTAAATTAATATTTTTATTGATATATTGAATATTGAACTTCGCTGTAATTCACACGTTCAAGTTTAACTGTAATTTACTAATACACCGAAATTTTATAAAAATTACGCTTTTAGAACAAACATGAATTGGTAATAGCTTTGCTATCTTTGGACATCCGCTGCAATAGTTTTCTAGTTGTTTATTTAGGCGTTTAATGTTTAGACATTTGTCGCCATACTTCAATGAGACCGGAACATTATTACATTCGTCGAACACCAAAAATAACCTTTTATAACTCGAAAGGGAAGGACACGCCTTAATTCCTTTAAGTACCTACGTTTGAAAGTTAAAAAAAAAACAGATGTATCATGTGATACAATTCCCTTTGTATCCGTAATATATTCAATGATTAATAAATATGTTAGAACATATTAATAAATAAAAATGAGCTAACAAAGAACATAACGCGACCACAACAGGTAATTAGCCTATCAATTGTTATTATCATTTAATACTATTAACTTGTAAATAAGGGTTTATAAACTGTAACAATGTACTCGTACAAGAAGTAATTCTCACACCAATTTTGCAAAAGATGAAAATCCGATTGTTAAAGTCCAAAAAATACCAACGCTTAAATCTTATATCAACTTGGGTCTCCTTAGTTTCCAAAAAAACTATCAAACCAATAAATTTCAAAGCAGTATTAGATTCAACTTTAAAATTAAGCATTAATAAAATTCGTGTTGTTGTTCCTAGCTTCATTAGTTGCGTGTCTCAAAGTAAACTGAGATCATTCAAATGACTCATCCCAATTATTTTATACACTTACAAAGACTGGAAGTACTGCGGTGAGGTATTTATAGTTTGTACGTTTTACATTGGCTTTCGTCAAGCGAGCAATCCTTGAACTTAATGAAAACATAAGTAGTCAGTAGTAACTCGAATAATTCATTAATGTGAAAGGCACAATAAGCTCAGGTATAAAAGTGGCTTTTATTCGAATTACTGGTCTCGAGGACGACCACAAAAACTAGCAACAAAGGGAAGAAAAAACGAGCATTGGTTTGCTCAGGTTTGCCAGATGGTCTGTGTTCGCGACGGACAGTCTATGCATTTAACGATTGCAAAATAGAGTATAGAATCCATGTTCATATTTTACTAATTCCATTTTGATTTTTTCTACCATGAAAACTTAATTTCCGTACTATTTATAGACAAACATTTTATGTAGCCTCTATAAAATAATTGTTTCTGTATCATACATGTTGGTGGAATTTCTTTAGACATTATCAAATAATGTAGCATGGTTGATATAAAAGATATAAATATAGCGACGTCACATCTCTCCCTTACTTGGTACAATGTCCGTAATTTTCTTAACCGAGTGTTGGGGGCCTGAGTTGCGTGCGAGGCGACAGATGTGAACGGCGGGATGGGATTGGCCGGCATAGCAGATGCGCTCCACATCTTACGGCGCGGAGGGCCGCATCGGAAATGATTTATTATAGAACTTGCAATGATTTGATCTTGCTCCCACCGACAAGGCAACTTCGATCTTGTTCTCAATTATGTTATAGCGCCCCTAGAGCATTTTTCTAAAAACTGTCATTTAGTTCTTATTGAAAATTGAACAAAGTGCAAATAACAATTATTTAGAATTCTCTATCATAAGCTAAAAAATATAAAAACAATAAAAAAAAAAGAGTATGTAAGAAATTTTAAACCGTGGGGATCCCATTGTTTATCATGTTGTGCTTGTAAACCTCATTTGCATTATGTAGGCGACGACCTTGTCAACAAGTTATTACACATTGGTGCAATCGCAATATTTTTAAACTATTCTTTAAACTTACGGTGTTAACTTGTTGAAACTTTATTTTCCATTTATGGAGTGTCACTTATTACATAATCCATATTAATATTAATTAAACATTTGGACACAACTTCTTCTATAATGTTGTATTGTCATCACCCGATTTCGTAGAATTGAACCCTATTTTTAATTTAATTACTTCAATTCCAACCAATAATGCTTTAAGTTGCTCAAAATCTACTTCATATGTGGGATCACGTTGACTGTCTTTTTTTGAAGTTATGTCCAACATGTTAACAAGTTTAATTCCAAAATAAACAAGAATGAGACAAGCTATTTGCTTTAGCTCGTGTAAAAATTAACACTTCCGTTAAAAGGGGTTATAAATAGTCGGACTAAAATGACTGTTTCATTAGCAAACGCTAACTCTGCTGTTAGCGTTCTTAATTTGAATTCGATGCAAATATAGCTGTAAGTATACTTTGAGTGTGTAATTTTTGTAATTATTTTAATAAGAGCTGTTACCCGCGACTTCGTCCGCGTGGTATTAGAAAACATGTGAACTATATAAATAAAATAAATAAAAACCGGACACCTCGGAGATAAAGCTTATCCCATGTATACTCCAGACTTTGTTTTACATCTGTGCCAAA